ATCATGATCCCAATTCTACCTTACAAATCCAGCTAGACCAGAGGATGTACACTTGTACAGATAGGAACTGGAAACACAGGGAATCCAGGACAGATGAAGCCCTCAGGACCAGTAGTGAGAGTGGAGATACCGGGAGGGCGGAGGGAAGGTGGTGTAGAAATAGGGAACCAGTTGCAAGGCTCTACATATAACCCCTTCCCTGGAGGATAGACAAAAGAAAAGTGGGTGAAGAGACACATCGGACAGTGTAAAACATGACAAAATAATAATAATTTATAAATTATCAAGGGTTCATGAGGGAGGGGTATGGGGAGGGAGGGGAAGAATGTGGAGCTGAAACCAAGGGCTCACGTAGAAAGCAAATGTTTTGAGAATGATGATGGCATCAATTGTGCAAATGTGCTTGGCACAATGGGTGGATGGATGGATTGTAATAAGAGTTTTATGATCCCCCGATAAAATATTTTTTAATGTGCTGGAAAAACTAGGCTTATACTGGAGTATTTACGGTAAGTGAGATAATACAGTATTTGCCCTTACGTGACTGACATATTTCACTCAGTAGAATGTTTTCAAGGACATCCATTCATTAGAATTTCATTTCTTTTTACAGCTGCATAATATTCCCTTGTACATAAATAAAATGTTTTGTTTACCCATTCACCTGTTAACAATCATTTCTGTTGTTTCCACCTCTTCAACGCTACAGGAAGCATTCCTGCCTTCACTTCTTCTCAATACAGACCGGGGTTGAGATCACTGAGTCACGTGGTAGCCTGGCAGTCCATTTTTGGAGAATTCATCCAACTGTATTTTGCAGTGGCAACACCATTGAACATCGTTACCAGCAGTAGAGAAGGGTTCCTGTATTATTTCAAAGTGAAATAACAAGCCCAAAATGTAGTCTAATTAGATCACGTCTCCTTCCTGCTTAAAGTTCTTTCAAGACTCCTTGTTGCGCTTAGAACAGAATTCAAATTTTCTTTTTATAACCAATAAAATCATTCATGATTTTTATGCTACCTGTCGCTGGCCCCATCCTCCACCACTTTTCCTCTTCCTCATCCATCTCTGTCACTCCCGCCTTCCACCTGTTTCTTGGAAAATGTCAGCCTCGAGTCTTTGCCTTTGTTGAGCCCTTTGCTAGAGGGCTTCCTGTGTCTGACTCCTTCTTCAGGTCTCAGCTTAAATAGCACCTCCAACTTAAGAGGAAAAGCTTGCCATCCTCCTTGGTCACACGATCATATTTCCCTGTTACAGTTTCTCCTTGGAACACATCACCATTTCAACTCCTCTTGTTTACTTGAGTATTGAAGTAGTTAGTTTATTGTGCCAACCTGGCTGATAAACACATGTGGGGTTAATTGAAAGGTGAAGAGATAAATGGCTCAGTGAGCCTCGCCTTTTGAGTTCTCGGGTCGCTTGCTTTCTGATGGTTGGACCTGGGTGCAGCTGCCTTAGGCAGTTCCCTGCTTCAGCTGGCAAGGCTCACTTCCTGCAAGACACCCTCAAGGAAAAGCCGCATAGACCTACCCCGATGCAACCCTGGGAGTTGGAGCAGCCGTGTGGAGACCCCTGCCAGTGCTGAGAAGCTTACACACTCACTGATTCGGCTTTCCTCCTGCAGTTGGCATCATAGTGTGTGTTTTGTGAGATGGAGGAGGACTTTGTGGATTGATGTTGGACATATAGGTTAATGATGGACTTGTGGGCTTGGGCAGCACGGGGTTGGGATGTTTTCTTGATGTGCACTTACCCTTTATATAAAACTTTCTCTTATACATGAGTTTTTGTGGATTTGTTTCTCTAAAGTACCCAGACTAATACAACTGTGATTGACTCTCTTTTCCTGGTTCAATGCCCCATATGTGCAGAGATAGTGATAATGTGCAGAGATTATAAAATGGCAGTCTATCGACTCAGTTTCTGCATACCTACCACTGAGCTAATCATTAGGTTACTAACCACAAGGTCAGCAGTTAAAGTCTATATCAACCGTTCCTCAGGAGAAAGATGAGGCTTTGGGCTCCCACAAAGATATACAACCTCAGAAACCCAATGAAGCGGTTCTACTCTGCCCTACACAGTCACATACATTGGAATCCATTTGATGGCATGGGTTAGTTCGTTTGCTGTGGGCTAAGGGTTTCACAGACGTTATGTCATTCAATCCTTTTAACAACCCCACATAACAAATCTTAACAACTCTTCTCCCACCATTTTACAAATAAGACCAAAGCTCAAAGAGTGAAAGAATTTACCTTAATGTTAATCTTTGTAGGTGACTGAGCCAAGATTTAAGCTCAACTTTTATGGCTTTTTTGGTTCCAACCTTTCTGTGTTTTTCTACAAGATCAAACTATTTCTATAGCCTACTGCTGTCAAGTTGACTTTTGATTGATAGCAGGCATGTAGGACACAGTACAACTGCCCCATAGAGGTTTCAGGGCTGTCATCATTATGAAAGCAGACTGCCACATCTTTCTGCTGAGGAGCAGCTGGTACACTCAAGCCACAGCCTTTGGGTTGGCAGCTGAGCACTAACTACTGTGACATGAAGACTGCTTATTTCTCTTAGAATGCAAAATTAATAAGACAAACTATGTTGATTATGCTCAGCACTGTGTTGCCTACTTTTTTATTGATTTTTTTTTATCTAATCCCAGCAAAAGCACCTGAGTAACAGGTCTCATGAACATCATTCCCATGTTACCAAAAAAAAAGAACTGAGGCTTAGAGGGAAGTCAGCAAAGGTGAGTCACCATGGAGAGAGGCAGGTCTGAGATTCAAACCCCAACTCTCCAGACCACAGACCATTAGGCTGTACCATCTCTAAACTGCCATTTATATTAAAAAATTAAAAATCCTCAGTAGCGCCTGGCTGGTAAGGGGTTAAGATTAGTCCTGGAGAACTAGTGAAGGAGCTCCATTGGTCTCCATGTATTCTTTCCCACCTCGAGTCACCTCATCAGAAAGAGAAGTGGCTTTATGTCAGTGGTCAGATGTTTCTCTAGCTGGTTACCTTGACAAGGAAGCCTGCTTTAAATGTTTTCTGCCCAGTGATCTTTGAACATCTCCTCCCCTTTTTGAATCACCCACTCAGGCCAAGTACTCCACTAAAGGCTTGTCCCCAGCTGTGGGCAGAAGCCAAGTTTGGCTGTGTGCACACCCCTGGGGATTATCTGAGCAGAGAGAACAAAAACACAGTTTCTTTTTCTATACCTATTGCAGACCTCATCCAACGGCACAAGGTAAGACAGAGGTGTGTGTGTGTGTGTGTGTGTGTGTGTGTGTGTGTGTGTGGGGGGTGGGGGGGCATGAAAAGTTAGTGGAATTTTTATATATATATGGAAAATTTTCTGGAGAGAGAGAGAGAATTTCTGTGTTTTAGTCCTCTTAGCACATTGTGAGATTAAATTCTTATATCTCAGTGCAGAATCTGGAATTTGTACCCATGATCAAGAACTGAGCCCCACTCCTTCTCTTTGAACTCTAATTCCAAAGGCCTTTTTATAAGGCTTGGGAGCACTATAAGTCAGGCATTGAGCCTCTAAGCACAAGATTAGTGATTCCAGCCTACCAGCTGGCCCATGGAAGAAACATGAGGTAATCTGGTCCCATAAAGATTTACAGGTTGGAAACCCTTTATAGGGTTGCTATGGGTCATCAACTAAACGACAATGAGCTTAACTATGTCATGGGTGTGTCTGGTTGGTACAAAGTTGCCTTTTGATTAGTAATCAAAGTTTTGCCATTCAAACCCACCCAGAGGGATCTTGGAAGAAAGCGAGTGATCTGCTTCCAAAAAACAAAGTTTTGAAAGGCCTTTAGCGCAGTTCTGCTCTGGACACATGGGTAACCATGTGTTGAATCAACTCAATGGGGACTTTAAAAATTTATCCAAAGAGATGGTCCCTGGCAATAATATTAATAGAAGATCAGAAATTTTATATTTCTTCATTTCTTTCTTATCTGTGCTAAATGCTTTACAAAGGATGTCACTCCACAATGGATTAATGTATGTATTGTGATAAGAGCTATATGAGCCCCCAGTAAAATGGTTTAAAAAAAAAAAAGATGTCACTCATTCATCAGCAAAATTCTAAGAAGTAGGTGCTGCTGGGACAGATTACCCAATAATGAGGTAAGTAGATGTGGTAAAACTGGTCACTACAGATTAATGAATAAACACACTTAAGTCTGTACTTATCTTGCTTACTGGATCATCCAACACTGGCAGGGACTGTATATAGAGAAAGAGGCTTTGATTCTGTAGGAAGGGGCTGTCGGGTTGGGAGGGAGCAAAGTGTCAACCAGACCTAGAAGCAGACTCTTTGGTGTGAAATGGTTCCTTAATAATAAGCACAAATTAATAAGCACAATTAATAATTAATTAATAAGCACAAATAAGTGCATGTTTACCTTGCCCATTGGGTAATCCAACAGGATTCTGCCAATATTTACATAGTTCTTTTTACAGAAAAGTTAAGTAAATTGCCCCGAGTTATATCGAGGGATAAAGCCCTGTTTAAACACTCGGGTGCCAACAGAAAGGTTTGGCAGTTTGAACCCACCAACTACTCTGAATGGGGAGGGGTGTGACATCTGCTTCTGTAAAGAGTTACATCTTTGGAAACTCTACTTGGGTGGGGTGGGGTGGGGTGGGGTAAAGTTCTACTTTGTAGTATGATAAATCAGAATTGACACACAGCAATGTGTTTGGTTTGGGTTGTTTGAGTCCTAAAGTGATGGTCTCTGCTACTAACAGTCATCCTCAACTGGGCACTGTGCTTAGTGCTCTTGTGATGCAACATACAATAAATTTGCTTTGCAACCACATGTACAAGATGATGCCAAAGCAGTTACTTCTTTATTTGATCAAAAGGAGTGAACCAATTTCCTTTTATTTCTCTCTCTCTCTCTCTCTCTCTCTCTCTCTCTCTCTCTCGGTCTGTTCTTTAGTCAGTTACTAAGGGATTATTTGCACTGTTCTTGGAAGAAATAGCAAGTTGCTATTTTAAGGAAGGACCTAAGGATACGTATATGCTTCTGTATATAAAAATGTACACACAATTCAGACATGTTATCAGGAGGGAGCAGTCTCTGGGAAAGGGCAGCGTGCTTGGTAAAATAAGGGCCAGTGATAAAGGGGAAGTCATGCCACGAGATGGAGCGACACTCTCAGGTTCACTGGCCTAGAGTCAATTCGGACTCATGGCGACCCTAGAAGACAGAGTAGAACTGTCTCTGTGGGTTTCCAAGACTAACTCTTTACAGGAGGAGAAAGTCTCATCGAGTGCTCCACTACATTACCAGGGTCCTTGGATTGACACAGTGACTGCAACGATCGGCTCAAGCCTAAAAAGACCTGTGAAGATGGCACAGGACCAGGCAGCATTTTGATTCTCTTGTACATAGGGTCGCTGTGAGTTGGAACCAATCAGATGACATGTAACAAAAATAGCAAGAGTCGGGAGTGTTCATTTTGCATCAGTTCTTGCCTGTGGGTGGAGAGTTGTTAAAATAATAACAGAGAGGGCTGGATTTTAGAACCAATTCTCTTGGGCTTGTGACCTAGATCAGGAATGTTAATCCCAAATGTACACAGTATCTGGGTAGGTGTAGTCACTGGAAAAGCAGGTAGGTGTAACAAAATAGGGAGAGGTCGGGACTGTGTCAAGTTGGAAAATATTCCATGTGAACAAAGCAGTCATTTCTCACCTGCAGCCAATTGAGGCCAAGTTGAAATAAAGGCCTCGTATTGCCCCTACAATTTTAAGAGAAGTCTTTAGGTGATATTTTTAATGACAGCTTCCAAATTATAAATGTTAGTAATTCAAATTGTTCCTCTAAAACCTGAGAGGCAAATAAAACCCTTAGGGCCAGGTCTGGGCCATTTAATATCTTAGGATCTTTCTAGTCCCAAAGTGCTCTGATTTAAACAAAAAAAAAATTAGTACTACTGATTAACATGTACTGAGGAGGAAAGAGACATCTTTTAATTTACGCGGCCCAAGGATTTGGTGCTGATAAGCCATGTTGAAAAGATGAGCTGTTCCTACCTCCTGCCTTTCTGCAGACAGTGACCAGGAGTGTATTAGCAACACACAGCAGAGTTCTGAAAGTAACATCAAAAATTTAATTGGGGTGAGGTTTTCTCCCCAGTATTATACCTTTATTTATTGTTTAGGTTTTATTGGCATATAATTCATATATCATAAAATTCAATAGTTCAATCACATCCAAATGGGTTGTACAATCATCACCACAATCACTTTTAGAACATTTTCCTCATTCTTGTGCTCATCATTATTAGCTCTCCATTTCCCCCCAATTTCCCCTGTCATACTCTTGAGAAATTATTAATCCAGTTATTCTTTCTATAGATTTACCTATCCTGGATTTCACATACAGAAAATATCTTCTTAAGCTAATAGCAGTAACAAAGTTAAACATATAAAAATCTCAAAAGAAAAGAAAGCAGAAAATATTAAACACTAGAACAAATTGAAAATGGATCGGAGAGGAGATGAGCCAGTCAGGGTGCGATGTAACAAGGATGAAAAATACAACTTTCCTCTGGTTCCTAAATGTTTCCTCCCTGTTCCCACTACCATGACTCGAATTCGACCTTGCAAGTCTGGCTAGACCAGAGGATGTACACTGGTACAGATAGGAACTGAAAATCCAGGGAATCCAGGGCGAATGAGCCCTACAGGACCAGTAGTGTGAGTGGCGAAACAGGGAGGGTAGAGGGAGAGTGGGTAGGAAAGAGGGAACCAATTACAAGGAACTATATGTGACCTCCTCCCTGGGGGACAGACAACCGAAAAGTGGGTGAAGGGAGACGTCGGACAGGGCAAGATATGACAAAATAACAATTTATAAACTATCAAGGGCTCATGAGGGAGTGGGGAGCGGGGAGGGAGGGGAAAAATGAGGACCTAATGCCGGGGGCTTAAGTGGAAAGAAAATGTTTTGAGAATGATGAGGATAATGAATGTACAAATGCGCTTTACACAATTGATGTGTGTATGGATTGTGATAAGAGTTGTATGAGCCCCTAATAAAATGATTTTTTAAAATAAATAAATAAATAAAATGGATCAAAAGGGAGATCAAATGATAAGTTGTCAAACCTAACTACATCTGCCACAATCCACTTTCCAATGCGCTGTGCACGACAGGCAGACCAGTCACATCTCTGGTCGATGGTCAGAGGGGACGCACCAGAGGCTTTTAATGCAATCAGTTTGCAATCACCTGCTAACCTAAACTCAAAATCCTCGCAGACAGAGTAGAACTTCCCATATGGGTTTCTGAGGCTGTAAATCTTTACAGAAGCAAAAAGTCTCATCTTCCTCCCACTGTAGATGATGGGTTCGAACTGCCAAACTTGCAGCCTACGCTAGACGTCACAGAGGCTCGCTGAGTTGAAACCCACTCAGCAGCAGTGAGTTTGGTTATGTTTAGGAGCCTGAAGGTTAGAAGTTTTCATTCACTCAGCCGTGCTGTCAATCACAGGGTTGGTGATCCAAAATGACCAGCTGCTCCATTGGATAAGGGAAGAAGAAGGGACTTTCTACAGCTTCAGAAACGCACAGGAGCAGTTCTACCCTGTCCTACAGGGTCACTGTCAGTGGCATCTATTCAATGGCAGTGAGTCTGGGTTTGGCTGTTTGCTTTGTTTTCCTTAGGATAAAGATGAGGCTGTCTGCTCCTGTAAAAATGTATAGTCTCGGGGACTCTGTATAAGGTCGCTATGAGTCCTAAGTGACTGATGACAGTGGAATGTTTGATGTCGTTCTGTGTGGCTAGGGAGGTCTCATGTTGGATGTATGTATCAGTATCTGGCATGGAAAAAAGTTTCCATTTCATATGACAGCTCTGATAGATTGGTAATGGTGCCGGGGAGACCATCTGAGGGAAGTCCCCAAAGCTACATCCGAGACCCATTGGGGAAGGTGGTGGGATATTAGTAGTGTCTGCCCTGAGCACTAAAAACAAACAACAAACAAACCCAAAAAAATCCCTTATCATTGAGTCAATTGTGATTCATAGTGACTTTGTACTTATAGAAGAGTTGAATTACCCCCATGGGGTTTCCAAAGCTATACTCTTTTTTAAAAATCATTTTATTGGGGGCTCTTACAGCTCTTACCACAATCCATACATGTATACATTTTGTCAAACACATCTGTACATATGGTGTCATCATCTTTTTCAAAACATTTTCTTTCTACTTGAGCCCCTGGCATCAGCTCCTCATTTCCCCCCTCCCTCTTCCACTCTCCATCCCCCATGCCCCCTTGATAAGCTTTACTCTTCTAGAAACTGACTGCCACTCTTTCTACCCCAGAGTGGTTAGTGGATTTGAACCACTGAACTTTCAGATAGCAGTCCACTGCTTAATTACTGCACCACCCAAACTCCTTTTGCCCATAGTAAATGGGGGCTGTATACAAGGGGCCCTCAAAAATTTTGGAAAATCTATCATCTTCCAATTCTATTTTTCTATGAACTTTTTGAAAACCCATTGTCTTTATTATTAGTGTCTTTATTGTCTCAAGTGGCAAAACCCAATCTCAGGCAAAGGAGAAAATGTGGGCCCGCAGGATACCAGGGAAGATGGCACTAAGAGTGGAGCTGGGATATCATGGCTTCAAGAACGATATGAGCTAAGGACTTGAAAGCTTGCAGGATGCTCTCTCCCCCTCATCTCCATGTCTCTCTGTACCCCAGTTTTATTCTCCCATGCACAGGGGCTTTGTCCACAGGACATTTCCAAAGGTGTACATTTTATGGCTTCTACCAGAAACAGACTGCTGTATACAGTCTTTGGTGCCCACCACAAAAATGTTGCAGAAGAAGTATGACTGCTCTAGTTTGGGTTCAAAAATCCTGGCGAATGACTGTTTGGCCCAGCCTGGTGCTCAACCCTGGGCCAATCCACTTTGGTCAGGGGGTTGGATCATCTAAAGCTTGGCAGCTCCTGGCCACATCTGATTGCACTTGATGGTAGACAAGGCTCTGGAGCAAGGGGATAAAGACATTCAAAAGGGTCAGTTTCTACCCTGGGGGGGTTGGCCCCATACATGCCATCCGGGATTTCAATCCTAGGGGACACAGGGAAAGGGAAGACATGCCTTCCAGGAAGGTTGTCAATGATATCAGCTACTGATCTACCTGCCCAGTACTTCTGCTTGTAGTCCCTCATCTGGGGACATTCACTTCAGTGGAGATTCTCCAAGTTTGCCCTGGAGTTGATTTGTGTGGGGGAAGGCCAGCCCCCACAACTAATCGCGGGTTTGATAGGCGCAATTGTATGGTTAACATCTATATATAGATTATAATAAAGTCATAGAGAATAAGGAGAGATAGAAGAGAGATGGAAATATTGGAGTCAGACACATTTCATGGTAGCATGCTCACCTCAGGCCCACTCAGTGGTCCATGTGGAGATGGGAGACAAGAGGGCAAGAGAGAAGGGGAGGGGAAGGAGGACAAGGGGAGAAGGGACAGGGGAGCAAAGATGGGGGAGAGAGCTAGGGGGAGAGAGGGACCAGGAACCAGGAGAGAGAGAGCTCTTTATTGCTAACCCAGGCTTATATATCTTTGGCGGGGGCATGCAAGCCCACTAATTACAGGTAAAGGCATACGTCACAGAAAGGGGTTGCACTATAGGTTATACAGCAATAAGAGGGGGACAATCTACAGGTATACATGCAATAGGAAAGGGAGGGATTGGGAGCACACATGTGACAAGATGGGCAGATCCTAGATTCAGGAAGGCAGCTTAATTTTGGATGTCACTTTGCAGGTTGGACCTGTTCTCTGACTCTCCATGGAAACCATTATTAGTAGGGTGTGAACCCCACCTACTGTGGACCACACTGATGGCCGCAAGCCTTCAGGGAGAAGTAGTCCATTGTCCTTAAAAGCAGGGAGCAAGCCCCACCTGTGGTGGGACCAGACAGTGGCTTAATGCCTTCAGAGAGAATATCTCTAAGCATCTGACCTCCCACCATGTGCTGGCAAACAGCCTCTGATGTTTGGCATATCTTTGGGGGAGACAAAGCTGGGGGAAAGTCTTTTTATATCCCACAGATTGGAATCTGGATGGCCCCACTTGTACTCCAGAAACTTTTCAAGATATAATTGTACTCCAGAAGGTTTTCAGTGAATCTTTGGGGCAATAAATTATCAGGCTTTTCTTTTGACGTGCTTCTGGGTGGACTTGAGCCTCTTACCTCTCAGTTCACAGCCAAGTTCACTGCACTACAATTCCCACTGAAATCAATAGGTTGTGTCCAAATTCTGGTGCTGAAACAAACTCTGGCAATTAAGCAGCAACAGGCCTTCCTTTTGTGGAGCTAATGACTGCTGAGTGATCAATTTACTGGGCATCTCGTTCCAAAGGAGGTGGTGACCTGAGAATTCTCTTCCTGTTGCCTGAGATTGCCCCATCATGCAGTGGCTGATGAAATTCCGGGTTGTCTGGACCATCCACAAATCCTGTCACAGCTTCCAGCCTGCCCTTCAGCACCTGCACTGCGGGTCTTCATCAGCAACTAGAGCCCAGCAATGGAGTGACCACGATACACCTCTGGAATTTAACTTTGCAAGGGATGTGATGGACTACTGGACTCAAATGGAAAAGGTGAGGAGTCATCCTTTTCGGGGTGTGGAGCACAAATACCCTCATGGCCTCATTTTCTTCCTACTAGGCAGAGGATAGCGAACCCAAGGACAGCTTCTGCCTACATTTATCAGTGACATGGAAGAAGGTAATATTTTGGGTTTGATTCCCAGACTCGGCAGTTCCTCACTTCTCTGAGCCTCAGTACTTTCATGTGTGAAACAGGAATAACCCAGGCTCTTATGGAATCTCTTATAATAAACAAGACATAGGGGAAAGGAGTGGCTACACCAAGGTGCTCAAACGTAAGAATGAGGGTGAGGATGGTTTCGGGGTTGGGTGGTATTTCGCTCTGTTTTCATAGGATTGCTATCAATTGGAACCAACTTGACGGCACCTAACATTACAACAGCAGGTGAAAGTATCTGGTACATAGAGGGTGCAAATACGAAGTTCTAATCACAAGGTCAGCACAAATTCATGTTAGTCTTCACTTTCAACTAATGGTACTTTAAGTGCAATAGGAACTTGGACTTGGTGTCCAGACATACACAGAGGGAGGAAGTCCTTGTGTAAGTGATCATTTGACATATTGGCCTAAGCTGTATCATCAACCTTCCTGTGAGGATTGTAAATCTACCTTGAGTCCTTGCTATCAGCTACCTATTTATGTGTGGCTTTAAAGTATGTGCAAAGAAACTGAATCTTGTGGCCTCTAGAAGTCTCCATGCAGAAAAATTCAAATGATTTATTTATATACTTCCACTCGGAGCTGGGTAGACATTGGGTTGTATATCTAGTCACCAATGTCCACAGTGTAAAAACTGGCTCAATATTAACCTGATAGAGGAGATAATTCACCTGAGGTGGAATCAGAGATTTAATATAATTTCTAGGTTGCACATAAACATGTATTCGTATATTATTTATTATTCAAAGCTTAAATACATTTTATGAGAACTTCCTCTCCACCAACTTTGTTCTCATTTTTCTCTGAATTTCCATTATAGCCCTGTGTTAGGCTGAGTTTTCTAGAGAAACAAAACCAGTGACACTCAAATGCATAAAAAAAGAACTTTTAGATCAAGAAAGAAATGTGTGATAGTCTGGGTGGGCTAGAGAAACAAATCCATGGACACACATATGTGTATAAGAAAGAGATTTATATACTGAAAGAGATTTATATATTGAACATTGAGAAAACATCCCAGCCCAGTCCAGATCAAATCCATAAGTCCAATATTAGCCCATATGTGCGATACCAATCTATAAAGTCCTCTTTAGACTCACAAAACACATGCAATAAAGCCAGATGCAGGACGATCTCAAGCCAGTGAGTAGAAAGTCTTTGGGTCCAGTGCCATTGTAAGCATCTAAGCATCTCAGTGCTAGCAGAGGTCTCTCTGTGACTTCTCCAGCTTCCGAGGTCTGGTTGCGTCCATATGCTTGTCTTCTGCAATGTCTCCCAGGAATAGCAGAGAGAGAGGTGTCTTCTGCCTCCAAGGAGGAAGTACCAGATTTCCCAGAATTCTCAGAAGACCATGCCCACACAGAAGTCTCATTGGCTATCTCCAGACTGTCAGCCTAGACTCCACCCCTACACTCTTAATCTTTAAATTGACACCAGATTAGGTAATGACCACAAAGTGTCTATCAAAGAAATAGCCCAGCCCAATCCAACTCAAGTCCATGGATCAGATGCTATCAGGAGACCCCTCCAGACTCCCACAGCTGCCAGTCAAGGAAGCTGGAAGGCAAAGCAGGAAACTGGGAGATCATATGCCAGTGGAAGCAGAATGACATAGATGTAAAGTCGACAGGAACATCATAGGGCACTGAAATCTCCCAGGCAGGCGACATGGACTGCCAGTCACATGGGCTGCCAGACACCAGATCCAAGCAAACAGGAAAGAGAAGGGCAAGGGAGGGACCAGTTCTGCTCCACATCCCATTTAAATAGGCCACATCCACAAAGAGACATCAGTAGGTTGTGTCATGATTGAGAGGTTGGACTCCACTGATATCTTCTGATCGGTGCACCAAGTTGACATAAAACCTAACTAGCACAGCTCATCCCTTGTTAACTCAGCATTTGGAAACAATTCTTTAACCATGGGTAAGACAATAATAAAATGTCCAACCAAAGACAATAATAAAAATGTATTTGTGACAACCATGATACACCTTACACATGCATACGAATGAAAACACAGTAACTCGTTTACATCTTCTATTTTATAAGTGAACAAAACAAAAAAATTTTGGTGCCTAGCAATTGCAGTTCTGTGAACAATCACCAATACCTAATCCTATAATCCTATCAACCTTGTCCACCTCTCTTCTCAGACCCATCAGGAAAAGATAAAACTATTCAGATAAAGCTTGCCTTAGTCCACTTATTTGAAACTAAAGATACCTATGAATTAGGGTGTATCTCAGAAATGTTATGTCATTGGGGGGGGTCACCCTCTTGAAGCTGCGGCATATGTTTTTTTGGTTTGGGGGGTATGAAAACCATGACTGATGGATCTATAGAGTCAGCAAGTGGAATCAGGGTTTGGGGGGAAGTGGGACAAATGAGAAGCTGATACCAAGGGCTCAAGTAGAAGGCAAATGTTTTGAGAATGATGATGGCAATAAATGTACATGTGTGCTTGGCAAGGAGTGGATTGAGTTAAAGTTTTTTTGTGCCAACCTGGCCAATAAACACATGTGGGGTTAACTGAAGGGTGGAGATATATATAGCTTGTTGAACCAAGCCTTTCGAGTTTTCAGGTCTCTTGCTTTGTGATGGTTGAACCATGGTGAAGCTGCCTTAGGCGTTTTCCTGTTTCGGTTGCAAGGCTCACTTCCTGCAAGACATTCCCAAGGAGAAGCCACAGGGACCTACCCGGAGACAGCCCTGGGTGCTGGAGCAGCTGTGTGGAGACCCCTGCCAGCGCTGAGAAGCTAACAGGTTCACTGATTCAGCTTTCCTCCTGCAGTCGGCATCATAAAGTGTGTTTTGTGAGATGGAGGAGGACTTTGTGGATTGGTGTCGGACATATGGGTTAATGTTGGACTTGTGGACTTGGGCAACACTGCTTTCGGATGTTTTCTTGATGTGCACTTAACCTTAATATAAAACTCTCTCTTATACATGAGTTTCTGTGGATTTGTTTCTCTAAAGTACCCAGACTAACACAGTAGTTTTATCCCCATTTTCCAGATGAGAAAACTGAAGTTTGAATGGTTTAAAGAAAATGCAAGGAATAGTATATAACTAACGAAGTAAAGGAACAGACTCAGAGCCCAGACTGTCTATTTCTATAATCTATGTTATTAACCATAATGGTTTCTTTTAACTTGGTTTGATTCTATGATAAAGCCAAATGTCCCTGATTTCATAGTGCTTTTCCCTCATTCCCAGAACAGAAGTATGGTTAAGAACTCTTAAATCATAAGATGGATAAAAAGGCAGGAGGAAGGAGATGATGTTATCATGCTTGCCAGTCTTATCTTCCTTACTAATTTGTCATGCCAATTAGTAATACCAGTTCCAGAAAATTTACCTGTGCTCATGCAGAACCTGTACATAAACTCAGAAGCATTCATTAAAACAAAACAAAAGGATACTGCATGGCTTAAATATGGTATCTGTCAAGGTGTCAGGGTTTTTTATCCTTCTGCCAGACTTATTCAATCTGTGTGGCAAGCAAAAAACATGAGATGCTGGACTATATAAAGAACACAACGTCAGAATTTTAGTAAGACTAATTAACAACCTATCTTATGCAGATGACATGACCTTCCTGGCTGAAAGTAAAGAAACCTTACAGCTCTTACTGAAGAAGATAAAATATTTCAATATAGGTTCCTCACTATAAAGAAAACAAATATCCTCACAACTTGATCGATAAGAAACATCATGATAAATGAAAAAAAGATTGGCGTTTTCAAGATTTCATTTTAGTTGGATCCACAATCGACACCCATAAAAGCAGCAATCAAGAAATTAAATGATGTATTTTTTGCCTTGGGCAAATCTGCTGCAAAAAAAGCCAAACCAAACCCACTCCCATGAGTCAAGTCTAAAAGTTCTCTTGAAAGCAAAATGTCATTTGAGGTCTAAGATAATATTTTCAATCACTGTGTTAGTCTGGGTTGACTGGAGAAACAAATTCATAGACACTCATATGAGTATTAGAAAGAGCTTTATATAAAAGAGCAATTGTATATTGAGAAAACTTCCCAGCCCAGTACAGATCAAGTCCATAAGTCCAACATTAGCCCATGTGTCTGATACCAATCTATAAATTCCTCTTCAGACTCACACAAACCACGCAATGATGCCGAATGCAGGAAAATCACGGGCCAGTGGGTGGAGAGACTTGTGGATCCAGTGGCAGTGGAAACGTCTCAGTGACTCCTCCAGTAGTTCCATGTGTCTTGTCATCAGGAATACGAAGCAGAGAGTGGGTGTGTATCTGGCCTCCAGTGACTATTGATCTCCGTGGCATCTCCAAATGAGGTCATCAAGCTGCGACCTGATTGACAGGCTAGACTCCACCCCTTCGCAAGTGGACACCAGATTATGTAACTACCGAAATCACCTCATAGGCACACAAAAGCTGAATAATGAATATGGAAGACCTAGGAAGAATTGATGCCTTTGAATTATGATGTTAGCATAGAATGTGAATATATCATAGACTGTCAGAAGAACGACCACGTTTGTTGTAAGGTAGCACAGCTGCTTAGAAGCAAGGATTGCAAGACTTCTTCTCAAGAATGTTGAACATTTTATTAGGAGGAACCAGTCCATGGAGACAAACATAATGCTTTATAGAGCATCGTCAAAAGAGACCTTCAAGGAGATGGATTAGCATAGTGGCTGAAACAACTGGGATTGTGAGGATGGTACAAGACCAGGAAGTGTCTTACTCTGTCAGAACGACTCAATGGCAACTAACAACAACTTAGTTATGAACTCACCCCCATATTTAACTAACGATTAAATAACACTTGTTTAATATAATGCA